ACCGCAAAGTATCATACAAATTGCAGAAATAATGTAGTTCATTTCAAATACATATTAATACCCGGGTCCTTAGATGGCATCTCCCGAAAAATATGGTAGCCGGATTATTTTTCGGAATTACATGTAACTTCGAAAAACTGCTTACAAAATTACTAATTTTATGGTTTACGTATTTCATTTGGCCTTCGTTTAGATGTCGCTTTGACTCGCAAATATTTACTATGTTGAATTCATAAAATATTCATAAAATAGTGTTTTTAAAGCAATGAAATATAATTATAGGTATTTCTGTCACTGCTGCTTTGTCCAATTTTTCCCCGATTCATTTATGCTCTACCAATCAAAAATCAATATTCACTCGAACGTGTTGTGTACAAATGTATGATAATTCTTTTATGAATGTCGTTCCGGCAGGCCACCTACTAAACTCTTATGGTATGCCTGTTGCCCGACGGGCAAATTCTACTGATATTCACTTAACCTGCATTTACGGTAATTTACACTTCGAGATAAAGTACTGCTCCGATACTTTCGTATCGGGCAATTAATGCGTAGACAAAGGTCAACTGGTCAAAAAAAAGGATAGAGCCCGTCAAGGGTTACTCGCCACGTGTTACAACCGCTGTACCAATCGATCATGACGAGAAGGGCATAGGTCGACCAACGTCAAATCGAATGAATTAATAAACAATCAGAAATACGTAATTTGAAAGCAACCAATCATGATTGATATATAAAGAATGAACAAAGCAGATATATTCCTTCAAAACGATAATCTTAAACAAAAAATTCTCAAGAAAAATAAAGCATATCAGTTACACTTATTATAGGAAAAATTTATTTGACATTATCTTTATTTCCAAAATATTTATCGCTTGTCTTTTCTCATTGCTAAAATTACTAAATTATAATATAGTTATTAATGAAACCTTATCTATTAGTTAAATTTTATTGTGCATAATTAACAAAGACACTAGCCTTGTTTCAGCTCTTTGTCTTCCTTTATGCCAATCAGATTGTCTCAGAACTTTGTCCCTTAGAACTTGTCCCTTATTTAGTTAGAAATTCTGCCAGCCGATCAAAATGCTTATTCGTCACTACTCATTATCTCTTGATCTTTGTCACTTATTTATAGATTGGTTAAATTGATTTCTTCAAGAGTTTCGTTAGTCATCAGTAATTCATTTTAATACAGGTTGAATTAAACTGTTAACATTGTTAAACGGTTATACAATTAGAAAATTTTTTTAAATGGTTTCAATTCCTAAGTTTTAACTTCAATTTTGGTAGTAATATAAAAAAAAGTATAGCTGATAGATTTTTATATATAACGATAAAGAGCATAATTTAATACCACATAATGATATACCGCATAATTTGCATTTTGTCGCATAATATAAATGTGACACGAACCTTCAACACATCACGGTATTTAATTGAAAAATTCTTTGGTACCACTAATGACAAATATGAAAAGTAGACAAAGATTCATGACAATATCAAAAAATTTGACAATACAAATGCCTTTGTGTTTTGATTCTTTTGATTGTTCATTTTTAAAACAAGTAATGTAACTCAAACTGCATAAATTAGATTTGGATTTGCCGTAACCAACCAAGTACGTACGTACGCACGTACCAAATAAATATCTAACATATCATTTATGAATGAAATTATAAATATATTTGTTTCGGTAAAATCCGATCAAAAATTTCCGTAATTGGGTTATATCACTAATTTGCTTTACAACTGTTATCATTATTCCTGGTTACTGGGCATCTTATGAAAAATTACCCGAATGATTATTCTGCCGATTCGATAAAGCTATTGATTTCTGCATGATCGGTGTAACGTTTATTGTCAGTTATTTACATGTACGTACGTACGTACGTACATACGTGTAGATTTTATTAAATTGATTACTAATCGATTTGTAAATTTAAACTCTCGTGAAACATATAAAATTTTACAAGCCTTAAACGACTTCATTTTCCAGCGAATATGCTTCGAAAGTATCATATTTAATCAGATTTATATTGACATTGATTATCTGGTCGTCATCGATTAATAATTGTCACTGCTGCACCGTAAATAGTAATAAAATTTTGTAGTATAGTTCTTCAAAATTTGCAATTTCTTATGATTATTATAAAATTTATAACGATAAGAATAGATTTCCCGAAGATCTTTTTTATTTTTTTTTGCTGATTTTCCCTTTTTTGCAACACTCAGCATTTTAATAGTAAATCAAATGATTAACGTACCCAAATTTTATAAATAAAATTTATGTAAAATTTGTTTTCTAGGCTCATTTAATAGTAAAGAAGTTGCCACTTTAATTTCTAGTTGCCATTTTGCAAATTCTCTGGCATTTGAAGGTTCTTTCCATGAAATTTCAAGGGAAATTGAAAATAAAACCCAAAGAACCTTGATCACGAAGTCAGCTTTTTTTTTTACGATTTTTATTATTTGTTTATAAGTGATGCATGTGTTTACCCAAATATACCCAAAATAGGGATAACTAAAGCCGGGTACATCACGAGATTACCCAATTTTTCTGATTTTTTAATTAAATCGATTAATATTTGGATTAAATAGGTTAGATAGCAAAATCGTATTTCCGACACTTTTACTTAGTGAACCAAGACCGGTTTAGATAGCCGTTTTTTCGTCGCTGATCCGGGTTATATATCAGGTAATTCCATGATCCTGGCTTTAGCCTGCCCCCAAAATAGGCAATGATAAATAGTCGATTACATAAATTTAATTGACTGTTTATCATTACCTTTTTGGGGGGACGTCTAAAGCCGTGTCCAGTCACGTGTTTTTAGTTTTTAATTAAAGTTAGGGTAAGGGTTAGTTTGGGGTTAGGGTCAGGGCATGTCTTATAGTAAAATTGTCTTCCCGACATTTTTTATTAATGCACCAAGATGGGTTTAGACTATTGTTTCTTGTATTTTTTGCGATTTTCACTTTTTTTCGCCTCTTCGGGCTGATCCGTGTCGATCAAAATAAACAATTCTATTGGCTTTAGGTCACGTGATGGACACGGCTTTAGACGACCCCCTTTTTGGGGGTATTTTGGGTAAACAGCATGCATCACTTAAAAAAATTGACTGACTTCATGGTCAAGATTCTTTTGGGGTTTATTTTTATCCACCCTTGAAATTTCATGGGAAGAACCTTCAAATGCTAGAGAATTTCTGAAATGATACCTAGAAATTAAACCGATAACATAATTGTTAAATAATCACATGTGACATCTAGACTGACTAATAATAAAAGTTACGATCATTGCCGAAATCAATAACTTGGGATCTGTGCTAGGAAAATGACCCTCTGAGGCAATATAATAGAAATTAAATATGCCGTCCAACTAATCATCCAAATCGAATGATCTTTTTTTATTTTGTAGAGCTAATTTAGCTCCACAAAATAAAAAAAAAAGTTCATTCAAATTGGATAACCAGATGGTGGCAAATTTAATTTTTATTCACAAAATCAAAATAGTCTCGGAAGGTCATTTTCCTAGCAAAGATCCCACTTATAGAATCAGCAAAATAATTAGGAAGAATAATCATCGGTTATAGTTGTTCTCATAAATTTTGGAACAACTTATAAAATTTGTTTCTACCGATTCGATAAGTTTTTGAATCCGAATTCAAAATCTTATCGAATTCGGCCGAAACAAATTTTATCAGTTGTCCCAAAATTTTAAGAAAAATCAAACTACAAAGAATAATAAAAAAACAAAAAGTATATAGAAAGTTTTAATAGAATCGTAGAACTCCACTAGTAAAAATAATCAAATCCCTTCTTGTTTTAGAGAAGTTATCATAATAACAACTTCTGAAGAATAGATAAAATTTGGTTATCATGCTAACTTTTATAATATAAAAAGGGATTTTGATTATTTTCAATTGTAGAGTCCTACGACTCTAAAACTTCCCCATATACATTTTTTTTTTATTCTTTGTAGTTTGTTATAAACTGTATAAAAAATGTAAAATTAAATTGATTTAAACGGCCAATCATATGAAAGTCGTTCAATGAAGCTGTACCTCCGAATAAACTAGCTCATAAGAATGGGGAGGGGCATAAAAAAAAACCAAATTTAATAAAGATACAATAATTCTATTGGCTATAAAAAATAAAAGATAAAAGGATAATATTGCAATCTGATTGGTTAAAATATTTTTTAAAAAATTGAGGGGGATTATGTTTGGCCTATGTACTGTACGTACTAACGTGCCTCAGAAATTTTATCGGCCAGGTCGAAAGTTTTCACATATACTGTATAACGATAACGATTTCACATACAAAATAACTTAAATTTATTTGCTAGATAAAAAATAATTTTATTCGCATAAATCCTAAAAAAATTGTAGTTTATAAAAAATTAAAAAAAACTCTCGACATATAGAATGTTACAATAAAACCTTAAGGTTCATTTTATGGAACCTTTTACTATATAGCTAGCTCTTATTATTTATGGCAAACTGTTTATTGAATAGATATCTATTCAAAAATCAATTTTCAAAAAATTGTAAAAATGGACTGTTTTAATATGTAACACCCCATATTATAGCCATATGTTTAAATAAGGATTATTAACGATGTTTTTAAGATGTTAGTTTGGCAAAAGCATGAGATTTGAATAACCCAAGCCATTGGGCAAATATACGTATATTAACATGATGGTATTCTTTGCTAAAACAAGCTCATTTTTTTGAAACTTTGGGAAACAATAACAAAGGAACTAAACAAATCTACTACATCTTCTGCAAAACGTTACGTTACCCAAATATTTTATACAGTAAACAATCAATTAAAGCTTGCTATATTACAATCGTCTATCAGCAGTGTTCGAAATGGAGAATTTTTATATGTCCATTTATCTGTGTCCAAATGAAATTTTTATTGGACATCTTCCAAGTACAAACACTGCCTATCAGTGACCAATTTTAGGTACAATAGACTATCGGTATCATTTAAATAGTATGTCGTTGTCATTTAGTTATGATACACTATTGTTGTCATTAGCTATCGCAGTAGTAAAAGTCACCTTCTCTTCTCTAATTCTATACAAAGATATAAGGATTCATTTGATATGAATCGCTTTCAAAAATATCATTTTACATGGTTAATTATCTTTGTATCGTTTTTGGTTTTTATTGAAAGTTTTACTCCAGTAGAACGTATAAGACAGAGTATTGCTCTCGTAGGAAATAAGCTTTATTTTTTTGGTGGACAGACTGCTTTTTTGCCGTCAACAAAGGATGTTTTCTACCTTGATGTATCTCCTTTACAATTAAATACATTAAATCCTCCATGGACTGATATTTCGAAAACTGCTCCAATTACCGTAAATTCGTCATATGTGAGTGCGTGTGTGGGTGGATCTGTTAATAATAGCGTATTTCTTCTAGAATTCCATGGTAAAGATAATGCAGTGAGTAGCGTGATGAATGTATATGTATTTGATGCGGGAAACCAACGATGGACTTCTCCTATAATAACTGGAACAGCTCCTACGAGTAAACGAAACTTTCAAGCTGCGATTAGTAATAATGGCAAAATTTATATGTAAGCTTAAATTCATAACGTGATTTTAATTTATTTAATTTATTATTAATCGGATAAACTTACTAGATTTGGAGGACAAACCGCAAGTACCCTCAATGCTACTTTTTTAAATGACATGAGTATATTTGATTCGGTAAATTTATTATGGTTACCAAGTGTAAGTTCTGGTACACCAAAACCGCGTTCAGACTACACTGCTACACTTCTACCAAATGGTTATATTCTATATATTGGAGGAATTAACGGAACAACGGGTTTTAATTATGCTATGTCAGAGGTATTTAGTAGTAAACGTTTTATTAACGCATTTACTATTATACCGTATAATTGATATATATTTTATATTAGATTCAAATTTATGATACAAACACTGCAGGTTGGAGCATAACGGTATGATCAATTGATTTGATGCTGGATTAACGTTGCTGAAAATCCATTTTTTTAAATTAGAATGTTTCGTTTGGTGAATTTAGCTTGAAAGTGGTAATAAGAATCTATACTGATTTGTTTATGAAGCATTTGCTAAAATTAATGTTCCGAAAGGGTCATTCGACCGAGTTTAGATTAAACCCGAACTTAACCGGATAAAATCGGTATAGATTTTGATACTTACAGGCTGGGACAGCTAAAAATATCTGTTTTTACCGTGGTGCGCCAAATTTCCGAAAACATTTTATGATAAAAATGGTAAATATTATATATATATTAACCAATCAAAATTCTTAAAATTATTGGATATGCGCCAAATTTTAAAAATCAAATATTTTAAATTGTTATGACTTTTTTAAAATTAAAAATTTAAAATCTCTCTTTTGGATTTGTTATTTAAATAAAAAAAAACAATAAATTTGAAAGAGAAAATTTTATTTTAACTTGATTGAAAAAAGTTAAAACAAAAATAATTGATATCTTTAGCTGTCCTAGGTTGTAGGAATTTGCATTTTATGTACCCTATAAAATTATTTAAACAATTAATAATTTTATAACTTTATAATTTGCCGGATTAATGACAAGGGTCTAGGGTTCGGGTTTTTAATCCAGGCCCTAAATAATTCAATCCTTTAGGAGCATTAATTATGGTGGCTTACGAAAAGGTGCAATCTCTGCAGATAATGAGATGTAAAATCACGAGAAATCAGGAATTTTTCAATTCTTAGAAATGTCGAATAAATATACTGTAGACATTACTGATTGAAAATATGATCAATAGAAAATTTAAAATCTCAGAAAATTTTCCGCTATCATCATGAAATCACAGGGTCACACCTTTTTGAAACCGCCATAAATGATATTCTAAAAATATTTTCGAAAATTTAAAATTAATTACCCCTTCACTGCTTGAAACCATCTAATATAACTTTTCACAACGTTTATCCAGACGCATGAATACTTTGAGCATATAATATATCGATATATATTAACATTTTAATATCAGATTGCTACAGGTGAAACAATAGATCCCAGAGATTCTCATACAGCTGTGTTGGCTCCAAATGGTTATGTTATCATTTACGGTGGATCCCGTAATTCTACAATTGCAGGTCCACAGTTGGCTGTATTAGATACAAATGTTTCACCTTACAAATGGTATACTAAAGCCGTTACCGGTGATATTCCACCACCACTTGCATACCATTCTGCAGCTATGGTGGGCAACTATATGATCTTAGCATTTGGTAATTACTAACATCATAATATTCAACATTAAATTCTTGTGTTAATATGCTAAGAATTTCTTGAAATTTTCTAGGTGTTTTTGCCTCCAATAGCGATGTTTTGTTTAATGTGAATAGTCTAAACCCTAAAATACATATACTTGATACAACAAATTACACATGGGTCACATCAATTGATGTTAATAAAACGAATCAAAATAAACCTGTTACTGCTACCACTACAGGAACTCCAATCCAAAATAGTAACAACCATCCAAATATAGGAATGATTATAGGACTTAACATTCTTGCGATAGTTATAGTGATAGTAATTGGTTGTGTAGGTTTTTTCTTATACAGAAGACGAACTAAAAAATATATTATTGCAATGCCGGGCACAAATCGTGAAATATAGACTATAGACCTTATTTAAAATTTCACAGGAGATACCCTAGGAATGTTCTATTTAACAAAAAAATTTTCGATACATTCGTTTTTCATATGAATTTTAATGTTAGTAAATTATTTATTTAAATAAGTTATTATAAGAGTTAATACATTTTAATAATGTTCTGTTCATCATAATTACGGGGACATTATTGGGAAATTTTCAATGTTTGATGTACACTAATAATGATTAAAACTTTTTTACTATTCTTAGACATATTGGGTACTTATTAAATTCTATAGTAGTTCAGAACAAGTTCAGCTAATCTATATCATATTCGGCATATTTTTTGAACTGGATATCATAATTAAGCTGAATGTGGTTTAAATAGAATACTATTCGCACTAATGTATCTTTTGCTTACTGTTCACATAAATTTTGGAACACCTGGTGAAAAATTGACCAAATGATTATTTGGCCGATTCGTTGAGCAATTACTTATAGCTGTTTTCATAATTCCTGGGACACCTGTAAAAAATTATTTTCAGCCGATCCAGTTAATTTATTATTTCGGCATAATAGATTCAATAAAAATTGATACGTGCGTACGCACGTACGTACCAATTTTTATGCTGAAATAATAAATTAACCGGATCGGCTGAAAATCATTCGGCTAAATTTTTACAGATGTCCCGGGAATTATGAAAACATTTGTAATAGTGTATACAGTATCTTTGCCAAACAACACTTTGTGATTTCGATAATGACATGGGTTAAATCGTGCCCCTGGATTCGTGGTGCAGTGACCTGCATAGGATCGGGTTCGTATAACTAACGCGTTACATTGGGGGGTGAGTTCAACTATGTAAATCAAAACTATGTATAGATGTATATCAAATTTTATATGTGAATTTTTTTTCAAATTTAGTGATTAAGGACTTTATATATGGGAACCCCCACAGCAAAAGGGTGCAATGGGCCAAAACTTTTAAATTTGTAATTTTATAAAAATTGGAAGCTGATTGTTCTGATTCTTCAAAAAATTGAGTTTAGGAAAAAAATTTTTTTGGCTCATTGCACCCTTTTGCTGTGGGGTTCCCATATGTATTTTAATAGTAAAGAATGAGGACTTGTTTTAGATGTTTAGCGTGAATTGCTTTACTTTTTTCAATTATCTTAGCATAAACCTATTCTTAAACATGTTTAAAACAAAGTTACGTTATAAATTTTTATGTTCTAGTATTAACATTTTACTTATAACGAAAATATCTCTCTTTGAATAATTCATAATATGAAGCAG